CCCCCCCCAGCCCCAGGATTAATGTTTTGATTGAAAACGCAGGAAGCTTCGTAATGAGTGTTCAGATGGCCCCCACTGGTGGGTCAGAGAAATGCAATAGATGACGGGCGAGATCAGAGATGATTTGTTCAGCCTGGAATGTTGGACTAAAACCAACCAGATGAAACGTCACAGAGATGGGTTTAAAGCTCTAGTTTGGGTTAAAACAGAACAAAAACCAATTCAATGCTGCAGGAGGGAGGAGAGATTGGGCTTTGAGGCAGTTCCCATGAAGAAGTCCAGGGGTTTGTGGACCACCAGGCCAGCAGGGGGGAGAGGAGGGCTCAGGACATCAGCACCCCCACCCTGCACTCAGAGTTGGTGGACGACCTTGGCTCAGGCACCTCACCCAGGCCACGCTTAAGGGCAATGTTCATCAGTTAGAGTGCAACCTAGAAGACAGTGATGTAGACTTGGGGAGCAGAAGAGAAAGGATGACAGGGAGACACATTCAGGTGTCTGACAGGGTGTGTTGCAGAATTGGAGGCTTATTCCTGGCTGCCCCGGAGGACACCCCAGAACCAGTGGGTGCCTGGCTTAAGGAGGTAGGCTTCGGCTCAGTGTAAGAAGGAACTTTCTAAACCTGGAGGTTTTCCATAAGACAGGCTGCCTCATGGGGGCACAGGGACGGAGTGGGAAGGATGGAGAATAGAGGGGGAGTCCCTGACTCCTGGAGATACAAGTGTGGCTTCAGGAGACCTCATTGGTCCCCAAGCCCACCTGTGTCAGTCACCTGGGTAGCTGGCAAAGATACGGGGTCCTGGGCCAACAGTCCTTCAGCCTTCGGAGTCACAGGACTGGAGCAGGAGTATTTCCCTGCTGCCTAAATGCACTGTGCTGTAGAGCTGGGCAGCCAGGCCAGGGACAAGCTCGCTCTGAACCTTCACCTCTGTTCGATAACGGGGGATTTTTAGGGCAGTGAGACTACTCTGTGTGATGCTTAGTGGTGGACACATGTCATACACTTGTCCAAACCCATAGAATGTACAACACGGAGAGCGAACCTAATGTTCATTCTGGACTTTGGGTGATAGTGACGTGTCAATGTGGGTTTATCGATTATAATAAATGGCCCACAATGGTGGGGCTGTTGACAGTGAGGGAATCGGGGGGCGGGGGCAGGAGGTATTCGGGTAATTGAACTTTCCATTCAATTTTGCTGTGAACCTAAACTACTCTTAAAAATAGTACATTAGAAAAGTTCTCTGGTGTCGCCTCTAAGTTCATTTGGGGTCTTGCCCATAGCGCTGCCGTGGGTGTTGGTTTCTACGGGAACAGCGAGACCAGCGATGGGGTGTATCAGCTGATCTACTCCCTGGACAACGCGAACCACACCTTCTCTGAGATCGATGTGCTGGTAAGGCTCTGGGCTGCTGGCTGGGCCGGGCGCGGCCCGTGAGGTCAGTGTGGTCAGGACAAGGGCCCAAGTCAGATCCCAGCCGGCTTGGCTGGGGGTGGGGGGAGGCTGGACTCCATTTGGGGCTGCAGGTGGTCCTGCCAGGAGCAAACAGGCAGTTTCTGCTCCCCGGGTGGGAGGGGTGGCAGGGGTGTGAGGGCCAAAGGAGGTCCTGGTGGGCTTCAGGGGCCACCGTGGGATCAAATCATATCCACCTTCAGAAGGGCTGACCACTTTCCTACTCGGCCAGGGAGACCTGAACTTGGAAAATGGGCCCCACGGTGTTTCTATGTTCACATTAAGTGCTGTGTGTAGAGTATCGTGGGGTCCAGGAGGTGTCAAGGAGAAAACTCTTCAAAAATAAGTCAGTGCCCCTTGGGGTGGTGAGACTGCCTGGCCCTCGGAGAGGTGTCCTCTGGGCTCTGGCTCCTGGGCGCCGTGGGTTCAGCTGGGGGCTCAGGGTAAAGGATTGTGCTGGGCTGGCCAGAGGAGATGTCGGACTTTTCAGGAACAGAACAGCTACTCTGCTGATCCTTTGGCCCGAGCGACAGAGACTGGGAGGGTGGGGAATCTGGGTTTTCTCAAATGTAGACCTTGGCCCCCAAGTGCACCTCACCTTCGCTGGAAGCACCAGGTGTGTGGGCTGATTTTTAGGCCACCCCGTGGCAGCCCCGGTGCCCTAGGAGGGCAGCTGTCGGGAAAACTAGTCCTTGGACATCGGGCTGTTCCCCACCCCCTCTGGCCCAGCAGAGGGTGACCTGAACGGGTGGCCCGTTTGTGTCAGAGCCTCAATCGTGAGAGGCAGCCCCCAGCAGAGCCTTTGGACAGTCCTGGCACCCGCTGGAACAGGAGGCTGGAGGAGGAATTGACCTCATTGCCCCTCCGCCCGTAAGCTCCTCTAAGCTTAATCCCCCAGCCCTTTAGGAGGGGCTCTCATTAAAGAGACAGCTAAGCTGTTGATCAGCACCCAGGAGGGCAGGGTACGGTGGCTCTAACCTAGAGAACTTTCTGGGGAGCTGAGGGTCACATACTTGACCAGGGCCCAGCCCTCCTGCAGAGCTTGTCCGTCCACACCTTGTGTCCACTGGGACCCAGCCCTGGGGGCTGAGAGCTCTCTGAACACCGGGTTTGGGCAGCTCTGTGGGGTGAGGGAGAAGCGGCCGGGATGGGGAGCTGAGGGCAGCCTCATGGGCTGAATGCAGAGTGGCCAGCGGCAGACCAGGATACACGTGGCCTACAGGGAGCTCACCCTCTGGGCCCCGCCGCCCTGACGTCTGCCCGGTGAAGGGGCCCCACGGTTACTGCCTCTGGGGTTCTTCTCCCCCTCTCCCGCCATGCACCAGTGTCAGGACCCAGCCCCGAAAGGAGAATGCCCTGCCCAGGGGAGCCCCAGAGCCATGACCTTCACTGCTGACTTGTGACCATGATGAGGCATGGCCCTTGTCTCCCCGAGGGGTGCAGGAAGAGAGCAAGCCCCAGAGCTGCCCTCACGGGAACATTTGAGTTCCCCACGCCCCTACCCCACGGGGAGGTGAGCTGGGACAAGAGCCCGGGCTGGGCCCACGCACCCGAGTGAGGGATGGACACTCAGGGCCAGGTCTGCACATCCACAGCAGCCCCATGCCTCTAAATGCCCCACATTCCCAAAGGGAAGCATTCTGTGTGTCCCTGGAGGTCCACCCCTCTTCATCTTCACCGTTTCTGGAAAGTGAGGACAGGAACCCCAGGCTTTTGTGGTGACCCAGCCAGCAGGAGCCGCTTCCATCCTGAGGACAACCCCCTCACGCCTCCTCTGGGGTGAAGGCCACATAGCAGATAAATGATGTCAGATAAGATACTGTCTGTGAAAAGTGCCTGATAATCTACAAAGTATCCTCCAAATTGGGGTGACCGTGATAATGAGTGTCATTATTGTAATTACTATAATTTTATATACATTACTATAATCACCTTAAAGGAGAGAGGAAG